GCCCATGTGGGGAGCAGAGCGGCAGGGTTAAAACTAACCCTGTCGCTCCGTGTACACAGTGAGAGGGGAGAGCTGTGCCGCTCTCTTCCCCGCTCACCTGTCACAGGAGTTCCAGCACAGCGCTGCGCTAGAACTCCTGTATTGGAGGTGACAGGGTCAATAAAGAGAACCTGTCACCTTCAAGGGCTATCACACACTTGCTAGCTCCTGTGTGATAGCAAAAACGTTAAATTAAAAATAAATTATAACAATTTAAAAAAAAAAAAAAAATTAAATAATAAGGTGATAAGTAGAATATAAGAAAATTTATAAAAAATAAATGGACACTATTAAGATAAATTATAAAAAAGTAAAATAAAGTGATAAAGTAAAAAAAAAATACATCAAAAAAAATAAAACTAACCCTGCTGCCGCCCCTGCCATCCGGTTGCCATTCTCCGTTGATGGGGGGGGAGGATGCATTGCAGAACCTGGCCTTGGGGCGGCAGGGTGAGTAAATCCGGCCCTGTTTGTCCTATTGGTACGGCTGGCCTACCGGACAGGCAGCTTCTACATCCCAGAGGATCTCCTCCACTGTCTCCTTGGTATGCCGTGTCATGATGCAGCATTGTCATTAATATTTGTCACTTGCGTGAGAATGGCAATTCATAAAATGAAAGGTTGTCAAGTTTGAGCCTGTGACACGGATGTCTGTTTGATAAAACCAACATCTTCACGTCTATTCTTCGCTCGCACAGGTTACACGATCGGAAAATCTGCGTCCTCGGCCTCTGCGCCCTCATAGAACTCGATCAGAGGCCGCAGATCCTGGGCGAAGTCTCCACGCAGATCCTGCCCGCCTTCATCCTCTTATTCAACGGTCTGAAGCGAGCGTATGCCTGCCATGCAGAGCAAGAGAACGACAGCGATGATGACGAGGATGGAGAGGAGGACGATGAAGCCGGTAAGTGTTTTGTGATTGGATGCCCCAGGACCTCAGTAGAGTTCTGTTCTTAGGGGGATGCTATTGCAGAGACCTAAGCTGAGCATTATGGGATTGTGCGATTTGAGGAGTGACACCGGGGTTGTTGGTAAATGAGTACAATTGGGGGGATTGGTGGGGTGCAAAGTGACTTTCTTTAACCACTTCAAGACCAGGTGTTTAGACCCCCTTCCTGGCCAGGCCATTTTTCAGTATTCAGCGCTGCGGTACTTTGACTGACGTTTATTCCGTCATGCAACGCTGTACTGAAATGAATTTTATACCATTTTTTGGGGACAGATAGAGCTTTATTTCGGTGGTATTTAATCACCACTGGGGTTTTTATTTTTTACTATAATTAGGAAAAATTACAGAAAATTTGGGGAAAAAAAAGTTTTTTTTAACATTATGTTAGGAAAGGTTCTGGTTTGGATCCGGATATAACATTCCTGTGTCTCATTTCTGTGGCGGTGAAGTGCTGCGGCCTGCATGTCATTGCTGTCACAGCCTCCAAAATGTCACCTCAGTGATGATGCCCAACCACAAGGTCTCCAACTTATAAACCCTCAGTGCCCTGTCCTGCTAGAGAACCAGCAATTGTCACGGCAAGCATGATTTGTGCTCTCAGTTGATGTCGAAACATCAACATTTTATAACTGGGGAATGATGGCAGTTAGGTGGCATGTCGCAGGTTCTTCGCGCAGCAGATAAAGGAGCTGGGCTGGCTGGGGGGTGTAGACTAAGATTTATTTAGCTTTGTTGGCAGAGGCTTGGAGCCAAGTCAATGAGCTGTGAGACTATAAGCATCCCTGGCACTCCTGTAGTTTACTGTAGTCCTGGTTGGGAGAGTCCACCTATGGGGGTGACTCCTCCCAGGGAGACCCTGCAAGGCAGCATAGCTCCCCCATAGGAGGAAGTGTAGTGACCCAAGATCTTCAAGTAGATCTTCTGCAGCATTATTATACAGGAGTTATTTAGCGCCAATAGTTTGCGCAGCGCTTTACAATATAAGGAAGACATTACAGTCGCAATACAATTCAAGACAAGATGGTAAGGAGGGCCCTGCCCCTGAGGGCTTACAATCTAAAAGGGAGGGGCCAGTGATACATGAGGAGGGAGCTGTGTGGGGATGATTGTTTGAGAAAGTGATTGTTCAGTGGTTAGGTTGAGGTGGGATCGGCTACCCTGAAGAGATGAGCCTTCAGGGATCTCCTAAAGGCAGTCAGAGTGGGAGATAGACGGACAGGTTGGGGTAGAGAGTTCCAGAGGATGGGAGAGACTAGTGAAGTCCTGGAGGCGAGCATGGGAGGAGTTGACGAGGGAGCTGGAAAGCAGGAGGTCTTGTGAAGAGCGGAGGGGACGGTTAGGGTGATACTTTGAGACCAGGTATTGGAGTCATCTGGGAAGGATATGGCGGAGCATTTGTATAAACGAGTAAGAGGCGAAGGGTATACAGTGGTACCTCGGTTCACGAACTTAATTCGTTCCACGATTCTGGTCCCGAACTGAATCGAACCGCGATCTTGACTAGAGGAAGAAGAAAATAATGTCACCAGCACACCGTAGTAATCAATAATCCCATTGAATGGCAACTTGCCATTCAATGGGATTATTGATTTATTACTACGGTGTGCTGGTGACATTATTTTCTTCTGTGATATACACGGTGCCGTCCGTGGTCACTACAAGCACCCTCCCATACGGGTTCTCTCCGGTAAGGAGTGCAGCAAGACCTCTTTCTTATAGCTTGACTCGAAGAAGTCGCGACCACGATGGCTGCGGTTGTGTTCGTCAGCCGATGCGGCGTTCGCGAACGGAAGCGTTCGTAAAACCGAGGTACCACTGTATAGTTCTGATCTCTTCAGAGAAGCCGATCCCACCGCAACCTAACCACTGAACCTTCACATTCTCACATAATTCATTCCCACAGCTACCTCATGTATCACTGGCCCCTCCCCTTTTAGATTGTAAGCCCTCAGAGGCAGGGCCCTCCTTACCATCCTGTCTTGAATTGTATTGTAACTGTAATGTCTTCCTTATATTGTAAAGCGCTGCGCACACTGTTGGCGCCATATAAATACTATGTAATAATAATAATGAGGTTTGCCCTCAAACGCGGTGTGCAGATGGCTTCGGCTTAGTACCAGCACTTCCTTTCCCTCACCCCATTTTCGTGTATTCACCTCGATGGTCTCCTGAGATTATATCGCTTTCTGCTCGTTTGTATCTTTTCAGCTGTGTGTTTTATCCGTAATAAATCCATTTTACACGATGGAGGCGCTCTTTTTGATTTGTCATCAGATTTTCGGTTTCCCTTTGACTGTGAGGAGCTGCCCCCCTGTATATATTTTTGGAAGACCATTTTTAGGAGCAGTTACGCATATCTTACCACTGTATAGTGTTTGAAGGGGTTAATATGAGTTTCAGCCAAGTTTTTCTAATACCATGTTTCCTCGAAAATTAGACACTGTCTTTTTTATATATTTTTTTGGCTCAAAAAAAATCACACTAGGTCTTATTTTTTTTTTTTTTTTTAATGTACAACAATCCGCACTTGGGTACAAAAATATGGTGATCAGGGCAATCAGGGGTGCCGTACCTTTCCAAGAGTAATTTGCTAACCAATCGCTGGCCAGAATGAGCGAAGCGCACTTTCACTATGGATTCCTCACAGGCGGAGCGCATTTGGGATCACTCCGCCTGTGACAGGAGGCGGGGCTATAGAGGAAGCATCGGCTTATGCAGCTCTGCTCCCCCCGGTGCCGCCTCGTTTCCTCTAGCGCCGGCTTCGTTGGCACCGCCGATTCTCTCCCGCGGCTCTTCAAGTTCCCCCCTTATGCCACCACCGGCCCTGGGAATGGTCACAACTGGGTCTTATTTTCGGGGTAGGTCTTATTTTCGGGGAAACAGGGTAGATGGCGAGGAAGGACACCTCCTAAGGCCCCATTCACACTGAGTGATGTATGGAGCGATTTCCGCGCGATATCGCTCTATGTAGCTTCTCCAATCCATTTCAATGGAGCTGTTCACATCTCGTCGCTCAATATCGCTTGTAGCTCGTCGCTGGTAGCTTGTCGCTCCTACATGACCCTTTTTTTTGAGCGATTTTGAGCGATCTTGCTCCTGATTGCATACAGCCCAATAGGAAAAAGTTGCGCAATTATCGCTCAAAGTCGCGCTATTTTCATGTCGCTCAGTGTGAATGGGGCCTAACTGTACAAAGGAAGCTTGCAGAGTATCGGGCGTGTTTTTGGGGTTATTAATCATTGCGCATTCTCCGCAGAACTGGGCAGCGATGAGGACGACATCGATGAGGAGGGACAGGAATATCTGGAAATGTTGGCGAAACAAGCCGGAGAGGACGGCGACGACGAGGACTGGGAGGAAGACGATGCGGAAGAAACGGCGTTAGAAAGTTATACGACTCTCATCGATGACGAGGAGAACCTCGTAGATGAATATCAAATATTTAAAGCTATATTTCAGAGTAAGTTTCGCCTTCCGCTGACATTTCCTGTTGTTGTCCTTTTTGAAATGAAACGTATCAATGAATAGAAATGCTACTTAGCTTGGCAATGTATTTAAAAAATAGAAAAGGTGTTAAATGTTTTCTGTATTTTTCTGTTTGTGTCCCATCATGCAGTGGGAGCCTTGCCTGCTTTGTTCAGAGGAGAAGCTCTATCTACAGGGCTTGAGAAATCCGCTCGTCTGTGACGAGAGGACGGTGGAGCCCGAGGAGCAGCTTCCCAGCCGGCCGTTGTAATTACACAGCCGGCCGGGAGCATTACATTCAAGCGATCGAGACGCCCGATCTCTTGTATTACCAGCAGCTGTCGGTGCCAGTCCCGAGATCCGCTGTGCCCGATGCGGCCGTGACGGCTCTGTGACGGGGGATCAGTACACGATCTCCCTTTTTTACATCTACTCTCCAGTCCCGGAATGCAGGAAGTGATGTATATTGCATCACTTCCTGCATTCGGTGTCACTTTCCAGTTACAGAAGCTGAAGCTGTTCTCTGCTTCATCAGCTTCTCTGGGGGTCCCTAGGTGACATTAGGGGTCTTGGAGACCCCTGATGACTTCATAAAGAGGACCTGTCATGTAAATTGACTAACACATAGGGGGCTTCTTAGCCCCCAAGTCGGAGTGTCGGCAATAATTCTCGGGCCATCAATCACTGATAATGCTAAACTGATGAGCGGTAAAAGCGTTTTAAGCGTCGCCTACGGCCAATTTTCAGTGTGGTCGTTTTTTGCCATTTTTGCTAGCGCAAGCAATTTTAAGGCTTGACATGTTTGGTGTCTATTTACCCGACGTGACTTTTATATTTAACCAAAAATATGGGTAAGAATAGATGTTTTATAACATAGGGAAACTTTTTTTTTTTAAATTTACGGTACTTTTAAAATAGTTAAAAAAATAACCCCTCCCCCAGTGGTGATTAGATACCACCAAAACAAAACTTCATGTGTCAGCTAAAAACGTTAACATAGATTGCAAGGCAACAGTCCGGTCATGCTGACTGGTGACACTTTTTTTTTTTAAAGCATATAGATCTTAAGTTTTGGTTGACACTTTTGACTGACTGGTGAGACACCCTCAAATTTTTCAAGCCCTATCGTAACGCTGGCAGATCAGAGGCGAGCAGCTCACGGTAATTGCGGTCAAGTATTCTATAAAAAGCTGAGCGGACATGTTTTCGGACTGATGACTTTGGGTGTCCGCCAGGTGAGGAGCGCTGCAAAAAAAATAGTCCAGAGGCCTGCAATATACAAAAATGATAAAGTTTTGACAGCTGCCACAGATGATGAGTTTTGAGATTGCAAGCCCCGAATGAGCCAAGGTCTGAATGGAGACCTTGATTTGTATTGTAAAGTGCTGGGCAAACTGTGGGCGCTTATATACATTAGGAATGCACCGATACCGGTTTTTCGTTGTGGAGTATATTGATATTTTCTTCGATACCTGATACTGATACCACAAGTCCCATTTAAGAAAGCCAGTCGGCATGTAATGAATCTCCACCCAGCTTTCTGATTGCCGGGCAGTGTGTAAAGACTCGCCACCCAGCTTCCCTAATAGCAGGGGAGCTGTCACCAGGTGACGAGGGAGCATTGGGCCGGCTCCCTGGCCAATCAGGAAGCCGGGTGCCGTGTAATGACTCGCTGCCCGGCTTCCTGATACCGGAAGCTCCGGTATCGGACTAGGCATCGGAGCATTTGGGTGAGTACGAGTACTTGCCCAAATGGCATCAATACTATTATCTGTGCATCCCTAACATACATCCTTTTATAATAGTTTACTCCCAGAGCCCCAAAGAAGCCCAGAAACCTCCAAAATGCATTCAGGATTCTACAGCACCCCAGTTTGCGCAGCACCCCCAAGTCCAAGCCTCATCCAGATGTCGCACTCTGAAGCACCATCCTTCAGCCTGTGCTGGTCGCAGAGAACCATCGCGGGGTTCCGTTTGGTCTTTTGATTTTAATATTTTTCTTTTTGTCTTCGCAGAATCCAAAATGATCGAGAAACACGGAGGCTACAAATTTAACGCTCCCGTCGTGCCAAGTTCCTTCAATTTCGGCGGGCCGGGCATGAATTGAGCCGTCGCTTTTCTCTCCTGCTAACGTGTGACTGATTGTAGTGAAGAAGCTTGTGTTCCTCCCAGTAGTGGTTCCAGA